GGTTCATTGAAGTCCTTGGCCCTTTGGGGCTGGTGGCCTTGGGTGACTCGTCTGCCGAGTTCTTGGGGTTTGGCTCTCCGGGCAGTTCATGACTATGGAGTGTCCAACGTACTGGTGGATGGCCTGTCCCGTTTCACTCCCCCTGTCTACAGAATGGATGGTTGAAGCCGACTCATTCCACTGGCTCTGCTGGACATTCAGGCGCCCAGACGTGGACCTGTTCGCGTCAGCTTGGTTGTGGCATCTGTCGGTATATATGGTGCCCTTCCCCAACTGCGAGGCCATCGGGGTCGATGCCTTTCGACTGGACTGGTCGAGGTGGGGTTACCTGTTCCTCTTCCCACTGTTTTGGTGTTGCTCCTGGCTCGCTTGGAGACTTACCAGGGAAGAGTAGTCCTGTTGGCCCCTTGGTGGCCGCCCGGCTCTGGTTTCAGACACTGCTTGCTCGGTGTCCGAACCCGAGGGTTTACCCACAGCTCTGCCTCTTTCAGCAGATCGGTTCAGTCCGGTATGTGGCTGGCTTGATCTTCTCCTCTGCTCTTCACATCTTGTCTTTTTGATACTGGTTTGTCACCACTTGTATGGTGATCAGGTAGTTTAGCTGATGGTGTCCCACCTGCGAGTTTGGTTTCAGTGGCAGTATGAAGTTTCCTGGCAGTCCTTCCAGCACTTTTTGTCTCTTTGAAGGATGTCTTCAATTTCTGATCGGGTTGTTTTGTCCTTTCTCTCTTGGTTGTTTCAGAACTGTCCTTTTATGCTGAATACTGTTGCTTCATAAAAACCGCTTCTACTTGCGTTCGGGGTGGATGTCAATTCTGCTCCGCTCCACAAGCTTTCTAGAGCATTGTTTCACCTCCAGCCTGTTCATGCTTTGCCTGAGTAGTCCTGATCTTTAGACCAGATGCTTTCTTTTCTCTCTTCTAAGTTTGTGGTGAGCCCCTTTTGTTCAGGACTGTTGTTTCTAAAGCTCTTTTCTTGTTGGCATTGGCCTTTGGGGTCGGGTCAGGAGCTTTATGCTCTCCTCCAGTGCAGGGGGTTTCTGCTCTTTCAGTCCTAGTGGTCGGTTTGTTCATTTGCAGCGGTCTCCTTCTTTTCTGGCAAAAAATGAGACTGCTGCTTTCTGGAGGGGTCCTTGGGTTGTTGATGCTTGATTGGTTCGGCCGGGGGTACATCATGTTTTGTGTCCGGTTGCGGCTCTTCGCCATTACTTGTGCGCCACGGCCTCTGTGGCAGGAAACGCGCTTTGGATTGACTCGGTTTCCATTCTTCCCTCTTCCAGGGCGTGGGTCTCCCAGGTCGTCCGCAAGATTATTCGGTCCAGCCAACCTGCAGTCTATCCCCGTGCCCACAACGTTTGAAAGTAATTACCTATGTATAGTTACAGGATAAGAGCTCCGCTCGTGGTGTCCCGTCTTCCTAGCACTCTTTGTCATATAGTGCTTTGAAATTACTGGCGGTTTTGGCCTCCACCACCTTCTCACCTAATTTGTCCCAACCATCTACCACTCTGTTTACACAAGTGAACTTTCTTATATTTCCCTGGCAGCTTTGTTTCGTTAGTTTAAATCTCTGACCTCTTGTTCTTGAAGTTCCGGGTCTCAGGAATTCTTCCCTATCAATTTTATCTATTCCTGTTACTATTTTGTACCTATTGATCATATCGCCTCTTTTTCTTCTATCTTCTAGTATTTGCATATTTAATGCCTCTAACCTCTCCTCGTAACTCTTGTCCTTCAGTTCTGGGAGCCACTTAGTAGCATGTCTTTGCACCTTTTCCAGTTTGCTGATGTGCTTCTTAAGATATGGGCACCATACAACTGCCTCATATTCCAACTTTGGTCTTACAAAAGTCGTGAACAATTTCTTTAGTATTTCACCATCCATGTATTTAAAAGCAATGCTGAAGTTAGAAAGTGTAGCATAGGCTCCTCGCACAATGTTCTTAATGTGGGCCTCAGGTGACAGTTTTCTATCAAGAACCACCCCTAGATCCCTTTCTTTGTCAGAATTCTTTAAAGATTTCTCACATAATTTATAGGTTGTGTGGGGTCTATGTTCTCCAATTCCACATTCCATAACATGGCATTTATTTACATTAAATTTCATTTGCCAAGTGGTGCTTCATATACTTATTTTGTCCAGGTCATCTTGAAGGGCATGATGATCATCTAGGTTTCTTATCTTCCCTATTTTTTAGCATCATCAGCAAACAGGTACATATAATCCTGTATTCCATCTGGTAGATCATTTATGTAGACAATGAACATTACCGGTGCAAGAACTGAACCCTGTGGTACTTCATGTGTGACATTCCTCCAATCCGATACATAGTCTCTGATTACGGCCCTCATTTTTCTATCAGGAAATTTTTCATCCATGATAGAAGCTTACCTGTCACCCCTCCAATGTTTCAGTTTTCAGAACAACCTCTTATGTGGAACTCTGTTGAAAGCCTTTTTTAGGTCCAAATAGATGCAGTCAACCCAACCATCTCTTTCCTGTAAAATCTCTGTGGCTCTATCATAGAAACTGAGTAAATTCGTTACAGAGGATCTTCCAGATCAAAAACCATACTGTCTGTCTTATATTATATCGTTTTTCTCCAGGTGTTCTACCCATTTAGTTTTAATTATTTTTTCCAATATTTTGACAATTACACTTGTCAATGATACAGGTCTATAATTGAGGGGTCTTCCCCTGCTGCCACTTTTGTAGATTGGAACGATGTTAGCCTTTTTCCACACATCAGCTGCAACTCCTTTACACAGGGATGCCTGAAAAATCAGTTGAAGTGGAATGCTGTACGCAGCTTTGGCTGCTGTTTTTGGTAATATGTTCTGGGCTGATAATTGAGCACAGCGCTTTTGGAGATCAAACAGAGTCCTGGCCGCACGGTACCTCGTTTATGTTCCTGGCCCTTCTCGGGCGTGAATAGCCTTAGGTCGCAGGTTGCAGCCAGTTGTCCCTACTGTAGTTTGTTTTGAAATTCCTACATTTCTGGGTGCCTGACCTGGCAGATGGCAGACATAGACTGCTCCCAATTACATGGAGGTGTCTATAAGCCATTGCTCCTCGTGCCTCATGTGAGGGGGGCCAGGTACTGTAGCTGGTCTCCGGTAAACCTAGAACTTCATCGATTGACTGTTGCCATGGTCTAATATATGCACATTCAACACTGATTTTATAAGAAGAATTTTTTCTTACACCTGGGCGTGTTCAGGCTATAATCACAAGAGCAGCCCAGACGTTAATACACAGTCAACTTACGAAAGAAAATATATAAACAAACATATAAACATATAATATATAAACAAGCTGAAGTAAGAGTCAGAGTTCTGTGGCCTTTCACAGTGAGGTGGCAAAAATAAAAGTCACTGCTCCCTCTAGGCCTCTAGAACTCTATGGTTGACGTAAGCAAGAAGATGGTTAATATCTGAGCATATAGTTTCAGGGATCCGAGGGAGGGAGAGAGAGAGAGAGAAGAGAGAGAGAGAGAGAGAGAGAGAGAGAGAGAGAGAGAGAGAGAGAGAGAGAGAGAAGAGAGAGAGAGAGAGAGAGAGAGAGAGAGAGAGAGAGAGAGAGAGAGAGAGAGAGAGAGAGAGAGAGAGAGAGAGAGAGAGAGAGAGAGAGAGAGAGAGAGAGAGAGAGAGAGAGAGAGAGAGAGAGAGAGAGAGAGAGAGAGAGAGAGAGAGAGAGAGAGAGAGAGAGAGAGAGAGAGAGAGAGAGAGAGAGAGAGAGAGAGAGAGAGAGAGAGAGAGAGAGAGAGAGAGAGAGAGAGAGAGAGAGAGAGAGAGAGAGAGAGAGAGAGAGAGAGAGAGAGAGAGAGAGAGAGAGAGAGAGAGAGAGAGAGAGAGAGAGAGAGAGAGAGGGAGAGAGAGAGAGAGAGGGAGAGAGAGAAGAGAGGGAGAGAGAGAGAGAGAGAGAGAGAGAGAGAGAGAGAGAGAGAGAGAGAGAGAGAGAGGGAGAGAGAGAGAGAGAGAGAGAGAGAGAGAAGAGAGGGAGAGAGAGAGAGAGAGAGAGAGAGAGAGAGAGAGAGAGAGAGAGAGAGAGAGAGAGAGAGAGAGAGAGAGAGAGAGAGAGGGAGAGAGAGAAGAGAGGAGAGAGAGAGAGAGAGAGAGAGAGAGAGAGAGAGAGAGAGAGGAGAGGGAGAGAGAGAAGAGAGGGAGAGAGACAAGAGAGAGAGAGAGAGAGAGGGAGAGAGAGAGAGAGAGAGAGAGAGAGAGAGAGAGGGAGAGAGAGAAGAGAGAGAGAGAGAGAGAGAGAGGGAGAGAGAGAGAGAGAGGGAGGAGAGAGAAGAGAGAGAGAGAGAGAGAGAGAGAGAGAGAGAGAGAGAGAGAGAGAGAGAGGGAGAGAGAGAAGAGAGAGAGAGAGAAGAGAGAGAGAGAGAGAGGGAGAGAGAGAAGAGAGGGAGAGAGAGAAGAGAGGGAGAGAGAGAAGAGAGGGAGAGAGAGAAGAGAGGGAGAGAGAGAAGAGAGGGAGAGAGAGAAGAGAGGGAGAGAGAGAAGAGAGGGAGAGAGAGAAGAGAGGGAGAGAGAGAAGAGAGGGAGAGAGAGAAGAGAGGGAGAGAGAGAAGAGAGGGAGAGAGAGAAGAGAGGGAGAGAGAGAGAAAGGGAGGGGAAAATTTTTTCCAGCAGGCAAAGTCCTTTGCCTGCTGGCTCTTCCCTTCCATTCGGCTATTAATTTAAAGTATGCTTCCTGATGACAAGTTTACAGAGAATGAGAGGGGAAGAGATGAGAAACGAAGGAGTGTGGGAGAGGGGGGAAGGGGTAAGAGAGTGTGAAGATTGGGAGAGGGAAAAGACTGCTGAGATTGGGGAAAAGAGGGGATGAGCGTGAGGGGAAGAAAGGCGGAGAGGAGAATTGGGGAAGAGTGAGAGGAGAGGGAGGGAAGAAGAGAGTGGGGAAAGGGTGTGGGGGAGAGACCCAGTACAGGTTCTGCATCTTGTAATCTATATATGCCAGTACATTAATGCACATATTTGAGTAGTTTAGAAACTAACCTATAACTTCTAAGACTCTGTTAGCAGCTGTGTTGAGGCGTAGTGGTCCAAGGTCTGTCCCAATGCACTCTTCAGCTTCGGCCTTCATGCACAACCAAGACTCTATGCGGGTCTTCTCAGAGGGAGACACCTGAGGACTCTGAAGAATTTCAGACAGAAGATCCTCAGCACTTGAAACAAGAAGTTGCCATTGAGACGCAGCAAACTGAAACCTGAAAAAATCAGTAACGTTAAATTGCAGTTACTCTCTGCATGTGTGTATCAATATGGGTACCATTCTAAGCAAACTGACCAAGTAGAACCTTCTGCACATCTCTAGACGATTGAATTTCTACTAGGCTTATCTCATTCATCAATACCCTCAGAGCCACATCTCTATACATCAATTTAGAAATTCCCACATTCCTGGATTTCTTTCAAGAACAAGCAACACTAAAACTGAACTGTCTGAAGGTGCTCTAAAACAAGTACAGTGTGTATGTATACAGTATAATATTGCTCAAATACAGTGGAACCTCGATTAACGAGTAATTACCTAAGTGTAATTACCTAAGTGTAGTTACAGGATGAGAGCTACGCTCGTGGTGTCCCGTCTTCCCAGCACTCTTTGTCATATAACGCTTTGAAACTACTGACGGTCTTGGCCTCCACTACCTTCTCACCTTCTCACTTAACTTCTTCCAACCGTCTACCACTCTATTTGCGAAGGTGAATTTTCTTATATTTCTTCGGCATCTGTGTTTAGCTAGTTTAAATCTATGACCTCTTGTTCTTGAAGTGCCAGGTCTCAGGAAATCTTCCCTGTCGATTTTATCAATTCCTGTTACTATTTTGTACATAGTGATCATATCACCTCTTTTTCTCCTGTCTTCTAGTTTTGGCATGTTTAATGCTTCTAACCTCTCCTCGTAGCTCTTGCCCTTCAGTTCTGGGAGTGGCTCTATTAACGAGTTTTTCCAGTAACGAGCAAGCCACTCGCAGCAAATTTGTCTCTATTGACGAGCTCGCCTCTATTAACGAGCAAAACCACATGGTGCTTCCTAGCATCTCGCGGGTTCTCACAAATTCTCGGACGCCTCCGACGCCAGTGTTGTTGTATCGCACACGACAAGCATTCCTCTGGATTTATTTGAGCTTTTCTTTGGGTTTTTAGTGGTTTTGCGACTACAATTTGTAACACATGATGTATCCAAAGAAGCTGCTTGCTAAAGATAGTGTTGTCAAGAGGAAGAAAGACACAATTACTGTGGATTTAAAGAAGGAAATTATTGCAAAGCATGAGTGTGGTGTCTGTGTGATTGATCTCACCAGGGAGTATGGCAGGTCCTCATCAACAATTTACACCATTAGTAAGGGAATGAGGAGGTAAGGGAGGATGCTGCCTCTTCCACTGAGATCAGGGAAGTGTTTGGAATGTTTGAAAAGGTGAACGCATTCTTGGAAAAGCTGCCCTGATAAAGCAGTGACAACCCGGTATGTGAAAATGTTTAATTAATTTATCACTTTGTGATAACACTTTATGAAAGTGTTATCACTTTCACAGGTATATGTCGCTTGAACGTGACACACTTTTTTCTCTTGAATGCACCCAAACACCGCGCTCAAGCGTCATTTGAGCAAATATTTCTATAAAATCCAATTCTTATCCGATCGACTTGGGGATTGTATACACGTTTGCCATGAAATTTCCGTTTTTTTTAATAACCACATTGCCTATTTGAGAAAACGGCATTGTATTGTATCTTCGTGGTAAGACTATTATATTTTTGACACAATGAGTGTAATCGACGTAGTTTTTTATTTGGTGCTGGTCTAACGCATCCTTGTGTGAAATTTGAAATGAAATTTGGGTGAAATTCCCAAGAAGAGAGAGTCCACCTGACTCAGAGGTGGATTCTCCTTCCACAACATAACCCCTCTCCTCCTTCCCACCTCCCTATCGTCTCCCTCAAGCCAGCAACTACTCTTCATAAGGTAAAGTAAATATTAAAACACTACAACAAAACATTTATATTTACATGTGCAGTATTATATTTACATAAAAAAAAGTCATACAAGCATGGATGTTTTTGGGAGTGGAATGGATTAAATTTATTTCCTTTATTTTAAATGGGGAAATTTGTTTCTTAAGACGAGTTTTCCAGGTAACGAGCTCGGTGCCAGAACGGATTAAACTCGTTAATAGAGGTTCCACTGTATATTACAGTGAACCGCAACTCAGGAAAAACTGGACAAAATTTGCCGAGAGAAAAATCAGCGTTAAATGTCTTTTAAATGCCTCTTTCTGGGCGAGCCCAGGTGGCTCCCTGAATATCGTGTTGAGATGGCTTCATATTACTAAGTCACATCAGCCAAGCACTTCTGTTTGGCCTACTGGGGACTGAAACCACAACCTGGCCCCTCACAGAGATGATGAGACCAGGCTACACTGCCACTCCACCGGGAAAGCATTCAGAAAGTCAGTGAGCCAATACAGACCACTGCCGGGTTCAAGGATTCCAAAGCCTCAACAACTGCCAACTGCACTCCCAAAATAATGTAAACAAATGATTGAATCTCACAAAACAAGCACAAGCTCATAGCACTGCTACACTCAACATGACTCTTCGGTAATTACTCTTCCTGCAGCAAGCAGGAGATACACAACTAGGTGAATACAACTAGGTGAATATACACTGTATCAGACCCAGGAAAATCCAGTTGCCTAAGTATTATAGAACAGGCTGAGGACCATGAGCGGTGTCCCAGGAAACACGAAGCTATGGGGAATTTGAAAAATAACTGGGATAAAAGAAATATGCAAAAGTGAGTGAAAATATGGATAGCTAAAGTTGTTATGTACTGTACGTGTATTTCAAAACAAATGCATGTCAATGACAAAGATGACTGCTGCCACAGAGAAGTTCAACACATCAACAGATGAATGTTTTAAAAGTTTTTTAAAGGTAAAAACCACAAATATGAAAGGTGGTTTTCTTGGCAGGTTAGTGATTATTGAAAACTTGCTAAGTAATTATAAAGGGAAAGATCATAATTTAGAATGAGAAACTGATGGTCTCAAGAATGACTTTTATAATTTAAAAGACAGTATTTTCCACCTGGATAAGAAAATTACCGGCTTCACTGAAAAGGTAATGATTCAGGAGGCACAAATCAAGGAACCTGTGGAAGAAACCGAGATATGGAAAATGAAATGGTGCAAATTTGATGAAATTAACTGGAAAATAGACTTAAAGGGAGAACAACTCGGAGTAACTCAACAGGCTAGTGCAAACAGGGAGTCAGACAAGAATATGATAAAGAGAAACTTCCTTGACAGCTCATATACAGGAGGTTAACACATAAACCGCGCATATCATATATATATGATATCAGTGACAAAACCAAAACCGCGCATATCATTTATATATGCTTTCGTGTCTAGCTCTATAATTTAAACGCCCCGCCTGGGATAGGGGAAGCTATAGTACAGCCACGACCGATAGTTGCCAGATGCCACCTAGAAAAAAAATCCAGGCCAACATTCTTGGGTGTGAGAGCGTCAGTAATGAGCAAGCCACCAAGGCTGGCGCACGCAGCACAAGCTCACTGCACAGCTGTTCAGCTTTTGACCACAGCATCACCTACAAATGCTATAATATATATGATCCTGCTATTATTTAGCGATGATAGTATTATAGAAGACCCCGACTGTGATAAAACTGACCAGGATTCTGATAATAGCAGGATTGTGGTGATATTTAGAGCTGTGAGCTTTATTTAGAGATATTTAGACTCCTCCCTCCATGGAGGGAGGAGTAAGGCTGTGGGAGGGAGGGTTGTGGCGTCGTCTTCTGACTGTGTGTGGCCACCTTTTATTGACTGCACTCACCATACCAGCTTAGTGGTTTGCTATGGTGAACACAAATGTAAATACTTATATATAACATGTGTATAGTGTGAGATAACAGCAATAGGAATAGGTTGGGAGCCGCCATTTTGGTGAGGGAGGTGCGTCGTCTGCACGGCTTATCATGTTGTTTACTGGTGGCCACTATGGTCTTTGGGCACCATACCAGCTTATTTGTACAGGCATGGTGAATAAAACAGGAAGATACTTATATATAATGTGTGTGTATATAGCGTAATAACACCACAAACAATATTGTTGGAGGAGAAATATTAGTGCATCTGGCCTTGAGGGCGGCCCCCACCAGCTGAAAGTGTGAGTAGCTACGTCTTTGTGCCTTTACTCACCATACAAGCTTAGATGTACAGTTATGGTGAACAAAACATGTAAATACTTATATATAATGTCTGTGTATAGTGAATAAATGCAAAAACAGTATTGTGGGAGGAGAATGAAGGTGATTGAGGTGTTGTTGAGGGAGGGAGTGGCAACGAGTGGCTGGCTGGTGTGAGGCGGTCACTCCTCGTTGCTTTTTGACTCACAAGACCAACTTAGAGGTTCATTATGGTGAACAAAAATGCAAATACTTATATATATAACCTGTGTATTGTTACAGTGCCCTCTCCTATTTCTTTCGTTTGCCTGCTTTAAGAGTCATATCAGCTCTCTATTGATTCTCTGAGATACAGGGAGTCTGTTGGTATATGTGGCGACCAGACCGGCCGCCAGATAAGGGAGAAATTTGCATTATAAGTTGTAGGTAAGGGGAAGGTGGCGCCCTGATATAAATGAAAAAGAGTACCCCCTACCTGCAGATCCGCCGTTTTGTAGAAAACGCTAACCGTGTGTGGATTGGGTGGTGTGGGTCACGGGCGACCAATCAGAGCCCACTGTGACGCCACCGAGTGCCCCGGGCGGCGCCAACGTCAGAGTTGACCTGACTGTGGAGGTGAGAGGACGCGCCTCGGCCGGCTCTCGAGGATTTGAGGCTCTACAAGCCTTATTCGGTGGATTAAACTAGCCATCGCAGCCCACCATCGTTATTGGAGACCCTGCGCTTCTGGGAAGCAAGAAAGAAGCCAAGTTCATTGAGCGGAGGAGTGCCAAACTTGGAAAATTGGTCTGCGACGGCGCTGGGTGGCGCCGCTGGACGCTGAGGGTCTGGGAGGTGTGACGGGCAGGCTTAACTGTGACCGGGTCACATTCACTGAGGGTTTTGGAGGGACGACACCGTTCCTAGGGCAAGGAGCAACGCCTTGTGGAAGGGACGAGTGTGTGCATATAGTGATTAGCTCAGTGCCCACTGGTGAACCAGGATTGGGA